ACAGTAAACTCAAAATATGTGAATAAAGTGAAAACTGTGAATTTACAAAATAAAGCTTAAAGAAGCCTAGTTTGCAGTTTGCTGTTATCCACACAAAGGATAAATGAAGCATGTGAAAGACAATAGTCTGGTTAGATGAGACCCAAATAACACTTTAGTTTCTCAGTCATGTGGAAGAAATCTGCCCTGAACACTAAATTCCCTGGTGATGGCAGCAACATGCTTTGGTGGTGGTTCTCTTTATTTGTCATGATTCTGCATTTTTGGTTCTGTTTAAGTTTCTACTTTGATTGATGTCTTTCTGTGTTTTCTACTTTGTTGCTTTCATTTCAATGTTGTGTTATTCTAGTTTTTTTTTTCTTTTTTAATTCTTATGTATTTATTGTTTCTTGTGTCAGTTTCATTCTCCTTCCTTCTAGCTTCCTCTGCCCACACCTGCTCCCAATCTGCTGATTAGCCTGGTCTTTGTTCAGTCTCCCATTTATAGGCGTCCTGTTCAGTCACAGTTTGCTGGTCCCTTGTTGTTTCCTGGCTCCTCATGTGTGTTTTCCCTGATGTCTCCTAGATTTAGCTTTTCTGTATTTGTTATTTTGGGATTTTTGCTTCAGTTGCCACTTTTTGGACATTAAAACCTCCACCCAACCTGACATTATTGGGGTTATGGGAGCTACTCTGAATTATTATAGGCCATATTTAAATCCCAATGAGACTGACAAGCTTTAAAAACGGCTTCCATCAGCTTCAGGATTAGGCTCTATGTTGTGTCGACGGATCACAAAAATCAAAATAAACTAGAAAGGTTTAGGAGTGATATATCTATCTTTTGAAAAGGCCATTTATAAACTTAACTCAGTATCTTCTCAACTTGATTAAACAGTTTAATCTTCAACCTAGATTGTATTGTGACAGATGTCCAGCCTCAAAAGTCATGATCTGCTATATAATTTTTTTATGTTGCCACCTGAAATAAAATAATTATTTTTTCTGCTATCTAAATGGGACAAAAAACTGGTTCCTGTTTGTAATAAAAGCTCATTGTCACAAAATGTTCCAGCAGCTTTTCCCAAAACTTTCTTAGTTTCTTCATTTTCATCTCCAGATCTTTTCCAAAGTAGCCGCTACACCACCCATCGCCCTCAGAACTCAAGTTTGAGAAACAAATATTATTTTAGTATTGTGAATGTTTGAAGCCCTTGAGATCTGCCTTGCTCATTTATAGCCTCTAATTGAAGGCAAACCTAATTAGGACGCTACATATCCCTTTTTCTCATTTCCTCTCACAGCATCATTATATGAAAATTAATACCGACCAACACATACATTACCCGCTGCTTTAATTCTGCTGGAATTAATGAAGGTGAAAATAATTCTCTTTGAAAACAGAGGAGGGGAGGATAAAAGGTCCTGAAGTGGGAGCGCACACTTGTTTGTGTCATGAGACTTCTGCTAACTTGCTCTAAATAAATCAGTGATTAGCATTTTTCCCTTTAAACGGAATAATTCCAACTTTGATATCTGTAATTGTGCTTAAGGGCTTCTGCGCTCCTCTGCTGGCCCTCCAACACTCTCTTCTTAGAACAGAGACATTCACAGCTGGCTTTTATTCACTTCACACTAATTCATGACCTCTTTGCTGCTTCCACAGGATTGAAGAGGTGAAGCTGTAGCCAGGTGGTGTAAAAATGTAAAATTGACTGGTTAAAAATGTAATTGAAAAATGGGCTTCAGTGCATATAAACCAACATAGAGAATCACAATTTAAGATAATAGCATATGGTGTTCCACAGGGTTCAATGCTGAAACCAGTTGACAACTGTTTAGCTGATCATTGGCGTGTGCAGGTGTATCTGCACACACTATCATCCGAGCTGCCCATCAATCTGTTGTAAGGAAGTTTTAGTGAGAAATATAAAAGACAAGTAAAAAAAATGAGACAGCTGATATTCCTCTAAGGCATAAAGATTAAACTGGACAATGCTCAGAGAAATTAGAGAAAACATCTTGCTCAATCTAAACTAAATGGTCCAGTTAGTTAGCATAGTGCTAAAAATTATATTAGAACAAGAACAAGATTGAACATATATGCTTTATTTGAAAGCAATAAATGGTAACAGAATTAAGGTTTGCAAAGTTTCAAGGAAATGAAGCATGCGTCCTCTAGACTTATAAGACCATAGGTCTTTAGTCACAATCCATGGTACGCTGTGATGAGAAATTCAACAGATTAACACAGAAACTTCTTTGCAAGTACTGAGGTAAGTGTTGGATCTATTTAAATCTTTTTGTCTTCCTGCAAAGTACCCGAACACCTTCCAGTATTGTAATTGAATCACTTGTGAACTTCCTTATGTAAAAAACGATCCTATAGTCTGGCATTGCAGCCCTACAAATAAAATTTGTCACCAATTCAGTCATCAGCATGACTATGGTCTCTTGCACAGCAGCAAATCCGCACAGAATGGCAAATGGAAAAATAAATATAAAGATATTTCAATGGCCAAATGAAGTCCAGAATAACCGTAATAAAAATTCACTTGTATAGGAATGATCATGCAGAAGCAAATGTGAGCAGAGGTCAGTGAACTAAAATAGGGTTTTACAGCCCATAATTATTTGCAATAAATATTATTCTTTAATTAACTTTTTTTTTTTCACGCCATTCTCCATCTATTTCTAAAGTTTCCAGAAGAGCAGATAGAAGACACTTCTGCTGAAGGTTTATTTATTGCTCATGGCAATAAATGACCAACAGAGGGTGCTGTTGCATCGCTGGTCTCCGCTCCGAGGGTCATCTTTCGGAGCTCATCACTTCACCTCAAGCTTTTCTTTTCTGCTTTTCATCACCATAGACAGGATCAGAGAAGCATATAGTCTCCTTAATGGATAAAGCTGACAATAAGATGTGATTACTGCTGTTAAAAAGCACGCCTTTAGCTTCATATGGAGAAACTGTGTGAATATAAAAAAAAATGATATTTAATTAAAAACAAATAACACATTTAAGTTAAATGCATATTTAATTAATAGGCACGTATTTCACAATGATTTTGTGTCTAATATTTCAGCATTAAAATATCTTGTTATGCACTTTTAGTGGATGGCTTTCATTTAAAAAAAAGAAACTAAACACATAAAGGATGTTTAAAAGGCTATTGTTCAGGAGGATGTCTCTGTCATAACAAAGGGCTGCTGATTGGCTGAAAAGTGTCAGAAGAAAGAGTAAAAAACACACATCAAACATTCCTCTCACAGCTCAAATCCTCTTAAACTGCACATTTGTTTCTCAGCGCATCAAGTTTAATCTGCCAGCCTGCATCTCCACTCGTAAACATCAATATTAACAGTTTAGCGGTGAACAGTTGCCAACAAAGTGATCTTAAAACTCCAAAGGACACCTCCACGTCCCTCTAATTAAAATTTAACCACATGAGACGATGCGAAGAAAAAAAAAAAAAACCGAGAAAGGAATTATTTAGCATTAACATAAAAACAAACACGAGCAGACATATATATGTAAATGAGCTGAGTGGTGGAAGCAGGACGCCATAACTCACACTGATGGCCTTTAAGTGAGAAATCACCTCTGGAAAAACGTCCAGTAAGGAAGCGGAATGATGCACCTGTCGCCCATCTGACTAATGAGCCAATCAGGTTGCAAGGACAAGAAGCCCATGATGCTGATGCTGATGTTGACCCGAAGTGAAGAAATTCTGTGCTCTAAAGAAGTTGATTATAATAATAATAAAATATAAGAAAATAGATTAATTTATCTTTATGTATAAAAGCAGTAAATGCCTTAAATCCTCTATATGACCTTATGCACTGTGACACTTTAAAATGTTTGATCACTTCCATTGATACAGCTATGGTATTCTGTTCATTTGCTGCAGAAATCAGGACTGTTTGGAGTTTTCCTTCTTTTTACAGAAACGATTTCAGGAGCTTAGTCAGGTTATGAAGCTGTGATGGATGAGAATAAACTTCAGGCCTGCTGTAGTATTAATGTTCTGTACAGAGAAAGCAAAAAAAATGTGAGGAAAAGGGTTTTTATTTTTCATCTGGTCAGTCTACGCGACCACAGCATCATAGATCTGCTCTTAGGGTTATAATCTAATACAAAAAAAAAAGAAACATCCACGATGTTCCTCAAGCTTTTGGCGTCTCACCCTGAAGGGAAGTGTGATGATGGGTGCCAGAGTTGGTGCCAGCGACGAGCGCTGCAGCTTCCAGCCGCGTTTAAAGCTCTCTATCTGAAAGCCATTAAAGGAGAAAATAAAAATTTATACAGTTTAACGCGTGAATAACAGGGTCTCACTCTTAAATTCACACCTCTAGATGTTCATTTCCCTCTGAAGCTGATTTGACACCGCGAGGTCACAAAGCTGCCACGTTAACGCACATCTCCACCTAAATTAATTTATTTCTAACTCTCCGACGACGGTACATCATTACAATCAACCTTTATTAAATTTGAAAAACGCATGGTCTTCTTATATTATTTCAATATGAGTGTAAATTATATATTTTTTTTCTTGTGACCAAAGAAAACAGCTGAGGAGCAAAAGACATCTCACGTTCATTCTGAAGTTGGAAAGTATAGATAATAAATAGCTATTGCAGTTGGATAATTAATATTAGTTACACATTGATAACTAAATAAAAGCGGAGCAGTGTTCGGTTGTATTTAGTTACTTTTATAGCTGCACACCTGCAGTATAAATAATCTTTTTTTTTTCTTTTTTAGCTGATTTTTATTATGGAAAGAAAAGTATGTATTTTAACCTTTGCAGGTGATTTAAATGGTGATTAATTAAGAAAAGCGCTCCAATCACAGTGTTCGTGCACAGTGTCCGAGCAGATGTGGAAGCACTTCGGGTCACTTCTCCAACAATAGAAAAAAAAAGAAAAGAAAAAGAAAGAGGAATCCGGTTTACGCAGCGACGCTTCTGCGGCGCGGAGATGACTTGAGCGACTGTGGCCACTGCTGCCGTGCACGACACATGCCCGAGTGTGTGTGTGTAAGTGTGTGTAAGTGTGTGTGAATGTGTGTGAAAGCTACCACTAGTCGCCCCCAGTGCTCTTCAGTCTCCACTCTCCCTTCTCACCGCAGACTGAACGTCACGTCCGCACTTGAACTTGAGTTTTCTCCCACCGTAGAAGCCAGAGAGCCGCACAGAGCCACGCAGAGCCACGCGCGCGCGCCGGGGGGACGCGAGACTCCTCCGCGAGCACAAAGAGAAAAAGAAGGTGACAGACCGTCCTCGGACCAGTGCCGGGCTCTGACTGCAAGAGTTAAAGTGTTGAGAGGCCGGTGCTGAGTGCAGCGCTGAAGGTGCCCACCACTTGGCGAGAACAGAACTGGATTCCTGTTTTGCACGCGTCAGCCGAAGTCCAGCCACACGCGTCACTCCTCAAGACTGAGTAGTGTCCAGTGTCCGGAGAGTGGACACAAACAGGGACAGTCCATCAGGAGGTGACTCCAAAGCTTTTGCGCTCCGCTCTTTTTTTTTTTTCTCTTTTCCGCGCTCCTTTGAGGGGATGGTGTGAAAGCGACAGAGGAAAGAGTCCGATTGTTCCCCCCCCTCCCTTTGCGCTCCAAGAAGGGAGGCGCGCAACCACTTTGGCACCGAGCTCTGAGCGAGCGCCCCGGCGCCCAGCGCTGCGCCACGGCCGGTGACCGCAGAGCGCAACAGCCGCTGCCCACCCAGGACAGATACACCGCGCAGGGGTCAGTCCGCGGGCCGCACCTGGGGCCGGAGCGAAGCGGTCAGCTGGGGGTGACCAGTGATTTTTGGGGCCAGTTTGGCCGTTCAGAGCAGCGGCAGACGCAGGAAGAGAAGAAGACGGAGGAGAAGGAGGAGGAGAGCCGACCTTTTCTGAGTAGCTCTCCGGGCGATGCCAATGTAAATGCCAGGGCGATGTCCCGACGCAAGCAGGGGAACCCGCAGCACCTGTCCCAGAGAGAAATAACGCGTAAGTCGCTCACATCTCATATTATCCCATTTCGGTGTTTTTCTTTTCTTTTCTGTGCGCATTAAAAATACAGATTTTCAGATTTGGTGCAGAAAGTTTTCCGAAGAGTCTCTAGAAAGATAGTTTACTTTATTCCATTAATTTAGAAGTAGGCCTAATCGTTTATTTTATTAAACATGCTTATTTTATTTGCTTTGTGTGTGAATAACACACTGTCTATGGAGCCCAAAGAGAAAAATATGCGCAGCTGGAGGAGCCGCGCACGGAGGAGACTGAGGTCCGTCCCGAGTAGAGATTGGTGCTGCGCTCCTCGCTGGGTTTGAACTTTCGCTCGATTAAACTGAGAAACATAGATAAACTTTAGATAAACAGGCTGTTTAGTCTACCAGGTACTTTTATTTTTTCTTTTTATGCGCAGGCTACAGGCACTTTGGTACAGTTTCTTGTTTTATTGTCTAACTGAAGCACCATGCTTGACGAGTTTTAGGTTAAAACAGAATTAACTAACATAGCTTTACAAACAAACAAAAAATAAACAACAAGAAAAAAAAAACACTGTCTGAAAAAGAGTTAATTAAAGTTACACTGATACCTCGCTGTTTAAATTAGATTTTCCCTATGTCTAATCAAGGTGGTTTTAAAACAAATGTTCCACTTACCTGCAAGTTTTACCCGACTTCAATTATTTAGTACAAAATAAAAACGCGGGCCTTTAATAAGTAAAAAAGCAAAATCAGGAATTCAACAGTTATCTTTTAATGGAAACATATTAATTGAATTGTATCCACAGAATTAATATTCCTCCTCCAAGAAATTTTACACATATTTGTTATTTGATCTAAAGTGACATTTTAATTCCTCAAATTAAACCTTAGACCTATACCGTTTTATCCTTGGGTCTTTTGATGGTTTGGGCTGTTGGGTCTTAAATATCTCAGCCTGGCCTTGGATCAGTTTTCCGGCTGATGCGTCCTGACAGGTAAAAAGCACTGATGGAGCTGAAGTGATTTAACAAACTTTTAGCACTTAATAAGGAATCCAGGTGAACTCCGCAACCTTGCTGTTCTAAAAACAGCATGCACAGAAAAAAAAACAACCTGATTTTAACAGGATGTTTGATTTTAAACTGTTTTCTGAAAGAGACGCAACTTTTCGCTGCAGCTCTCTCAGAGGCCTGCGGAGCATCACTTGGTGCGCTCTATTGGTTCTCGGAGAACTGAAAAGAGGGATGTGATGTATCAAGCCAGGTGGAACGAAGGATTACAAGTTTATAAGTGAGCTTCCTGTTTGCACAGTTCCTCAGGGTGCAGGTCAGTCGGACGCCTGTGATTTATCCACCTTCAGGCCACTGAAAGGTGTAACGCTTTGTAATTTATGTGTCAGAGAAGTCCCTGGACTTCCTTACTCGCCATTCCTGCATGTGCATGAGGCATATTAAGTGAGATGGAGGATGTCTATATACACCCCCCTGAAAAAAACAAAACACATTATTCCTCTTGAGCTCCCATGCGTCAAAATCCATCAGATGTGGGTTTGAATTCGCAGCTTTTTACTCAAAATCTTATAAATCACAAAGAATGCTAATCTTCTGTCTGAATACTGCATTAGGAAAGATTGTGTGGAGAATTGAAGCTGAACTTTAAAAATAAAGTTTGTCTATAAAGCGCTTAGATAGAGGATGCTTTACTAAACGAGTTTTTTTTCCACCTTGACGCGTGACAGCCTTTTATTTTTAAACCAACTAAAGAATTGGTCCTGGAACTAACTGATGAATAAATCTGAGGAATAATTTGCATGTTTATCGTCTCCAACAAATGCTCTGCACAATTTCACATCACGCAAAAATAAAACCGGAGTAAAAAAAGGTAATACACAGAGTTTGTTTCTCGGAAACATAAAAATAAAATAAAATAAAATAAATTAAAATACTGAAATTCAGAAAATATTTGGTTTGCTTTATTTTATATACGGGGAACTAAAAAAGAAAAAAAAAAAGAAAAAAAAAGCAAGAAAGAAAACCAGACTGTCCTCCAAGGAAGCTGATAGAGTGTGAAGAGGCGCAAACAGGACGAGAGCCTTCATTACGCACGCGCGCACGCACGTGCTCCGTGTAAATTGCAGTCGCCCACTTGAGATGCATGTTTCCCTTCGGCTTGTCAAATAGCCGTGCACCCCGCTGGGGCTGAAGTCTTTGTTAGATGCGGAGAGGAGCCTTTAAAATGCCACAAATGAAAATGCACTCCTGCAAAACGGATTCTGATAAACGCACCAGTTCAGTTCAGGGTCACTCAAACAGCAGCTGAACGTGTGAGATGTGTGTCCCTATTAATTTAAACCACAACATGAAGTGATATTTGTTTTGCTTTGTTTTTTTTTTACAAATGATTTTTGTAAACTGGTGCAGTTTCCTATTGCTTTGGCAACATTTAAATCCTGCATGAAAGTCCATAAATATATGTCTGAGCTCATGTCTGAAACACACGCTTACGCAGACGCACTCCTGCATACCAAGGTACTGGTGTGCTCAGCTGAGGTTTACTGTCGATGGGTTGTGCTTCAGCAGCTCCTTCTGTTGATGTTCACTCTGTTTGAGCTAGGGGGCGCTATCAGGCTGGCAGCTTTGCAGCAGTGTGTGTGTGGTGTGTGTGGTGCGTTTTTAATCAGATGACATCGGTGCAATAAGACCACATTCGCCTCTTTAACTTTCAGAAACTGCACACCTTGTACTTGTGGGTCTTATTTACAGTTAAAAAAAACATTACACATTTTTTGCACATTTAGTTAGAGGATTTAGACCCATTTTCTTTCGTTTTTAACTGAATAATTCTATTTACACTTTTATAGAATTAATATTTCATCCGCTAAATCCCAAAAGTAGTCTTATTCTGTTCAGATGCTTTGAGTTTACACATTTGAGGGAATTTTTTTGCACATATTTTCTTCTAAGTGATAAAAAGTTTCAACAAAAAACAGACAAAAAAAAAAAAAGTTAATAATAGTTTTCCACTAAGTTTGATTTTTTTCTGACCACGTACAGCATTGGATAGCACAGAGCTCCCCAGCTTGCCACAGCGAGCTGCAAGCCAGCTGTCTGAAAGAGGCTTCTAGACTTATTCATGCTTACAAAGACAACCCATTTTGCTCTTGAAAATAGTTCCTGTAGCAAAAAAGAAAATATTAATGGAGCGGAAAGCAGAGACACCCACTACTCTAAGATAATAGGGTTTGAACTGACTTTCTTTATGTCTTTTTTTTTTTGGCTAAGTCTATATCAAAATCAACATACCAATAGATGTCACATTTTTATGTGACTGAAATAACACATTAATACAATTTATCACACTTAGAAATAAAACAAGAAAAAGAGATAGCAGTAAAAATAGTGGTGGATCAAAGTTAGTTTAATTTATAGAGAGAAGATTCTTCCACAGGTGAAGAGACATAAAATCATCTGTTTCCTGTTCTTGTCCTAAAATTTCTTGTTGATTTAACTGTAAATTTAACTACTTTTTTTTGTTGTTTTTCATGCTATGGTTTTGATGGTTGACAGTAGACAGGAAGCGACAGATGAGCGAGGAGATGATGGTTTGATCCTAAAACACCTGCAAACCAAATAACACATTTTGCACACTGCACAAACACGGTCAGGTTCATCTTCAGTTGCTTTGTAAAACTAACAAGTTGCAAAGTAAAAATAGATGTTGCACTGTGAGAACATCTTCATCTCTGCAGAGTTTCTACATCCCGCTGCAGCTGCATGTGGCATGAAACAAGCTTGGAAGAAATAAACCTAAATCAGTGTTTATAACTCATATTATTCTACATGAAAGTTTGTGTTTGTGTGTCAAAATATGTGGCTTTACTAACATTTAATCTTGGTTTTAGAGTTTGTTGCTTTCATAAAACACACTGGCGGATTTGTTACAGAGCTTATAATTGCTCCGGAAAAGGAAACATTGATGGAGCTTGCTTGTACCTTTACAGCCTCTCCGCTAAGCCTCATCCTCTGAAACATAGATAGTCAATATATTAAACTAAACCAAAGGTATGGTGGCTGGCACGGGACAAAAAAGACACACACAAATAAAAGAGCATTTAAACTCTGCAGTGCTTCTGCTTTTGATAAAAAAAATCGGCCCATTTGTATTTTCCCTGCATCCTATTAGCTCTCTCCGCTGCCTTACATAAACCTTAGGTAAATCATGCCACAGCTTCGCTTCCTCCTTCGCGCCATCGTTTGGTGGCCATGCTGGCGTGCAAAAGAAAAAAAAAAAAAACAGCAAAAAAAAAAACCCCACTCAAAACAAAACTTATGGTTTTGTTTTAATGCCGAGTCTCATCCGACAGAAAGTGGCGGAAAGTATCGTTACACAGCGATTTATCGGCCTACCAAACATCTGAATAAATTTTATCTTTTTTTTGTGGTTTTACAAGAATTATATTCCGATCTAGTTGATCAGCCACAGGAAGGCAGCTGCCTATTTCACATCTGTCGGTGTTTATCACATTACTACAATAACTGACATGTCAGATGAAATTGAGTCTGCATTGTGTGTGTGTGTGTGTGTGTCTGCACTGGGTTTGTTCCAGGTCAGCTAACTGGCTTTATTCTCTTCGATGTTTATTAGGAAACACACTCTGTACTGTACATGGCTGATCATTTCAGAGGACAGATGGCTGCAGCCTGCAGGCCACAAACATAATAATGCATGTGTGTGTGTGTGGGTGTATGTGTGCAGCAGACAAACATGTTATTATGCAGAAAGAGTGGCGTTGTGGGCTGACGGAGCTCTGATGCTGTGCACCTGCTCACACACACTCACACACACATTGATACTTCCTGCAGCCGGGGAAAGCAGATAAGCATGCCTGCATTCGTCTGCAGTCTGTCTGCTGATATTCTGAGGATCAAGTCCAGAATATATTTCTAAATGAAAGTTGATTACCTGAGTGTTTAAAAGCAGCAGATTTCAGGAGTTGGAGATCCTGGATCCGTAGCTGAAGATTAATCTGTTTGAGACTGAGGTGATAATGAGGAAGATCAAGATAGTTAATAGACTATTTGGACTTTGAAGTCATCGACTGGTCGGCTTTAAGCACCAACACTAATCGATCAATCAGTCAATCAATCAACTTTATTGTCAAGTACAATTTACATTGCAATCGAGATTTCAGCTTCAGTACAAACCGTTCGTCACGATACTCAGATCCTAAGATTCTTATCCTCTTATCGTCAGATTTCTTAGCCTGCTTCTGAATCCCAAGCTTTTCTCAGTTTATAATAAAATGCTCTAAAATGCATCTCATAAAAAATGAGTTTGCAGAGCAGATAAACGTTGATGATTGCCTCTGCAGAGTGAAGGAATGATTGATGGACTTGAGTATTAAACACATTGAGAAGAAGTCTGAATGCACAGCACTGCTCAAGAAAACATAAGAATCTGATTATTCTCTATAACTTTTTTTACCTCCTCCTGGTGATGTCATCTTACATGGTTCTGAAGTGACAGAATCTGTTCTGATGTTTTCTTGTCTCATCTGTTTTCTCCCCCTAACTCTAGCGGAGGTTGAGCATCAAGATGGCGCTCTGCTCTCTGACTCGTCACCCCCCCACCCACTCGGCCTTCCTGGCCACACACTGGAGCCCAGCTTGGCCCACACGCTGCCACCCGGCCTTCACGTCGATCACGACCTGCTGACCTGCGGCCAGTGCCAGCTCACCTTCCCGCTGGGCGACATCCTTCTCTTCATCGAGCACAAGAAGAAGCAGTGCCAAACACCGCTGCTGCCCAACGGTTGCTTCGACAAGATGAATGACCGAGGAGGTGGAGGAGGAGGTCTGCAAAGCCTTTATCACTACGCCCAGCGGGGGGAGCTGAGAAAGGTGGTAGAGCCGGTGGAGATCGGCATCCAGGTGACACCAGAGGAGGAGGAGGCGGCGGGAGGGAGAGGAAGAGGAGATGGAGTGGAGAGGGGGGAAAAGACGCCCACCAAAGGAATTTGCCCGAAACAGGAGAGCGCACCAGCAGGTAGGCAGAACAGATGTACATTCACACCTTCATGAAATATCTCACAGTTTTTGGAAAACATGCATGCATACAAAACACATTTAAATAAAATCATTTAAAAAAGCTAGCAAGCCAGACTGATAATGCGAACCACTCAGGTTTAGTTCTGCACATTATTAATCTAGGTCTTTTCAATTGGTTCAGGAAAAAAGGACGAACTTTCAGCAGAACCTTTTCAGCTGATTAGGCGGAGCGACACCTAGTGCCCGCCTTCCAAGGTTTGGTTTTAGCCAATCACAGTAAAAAAATCAAATAAAAGGATATGCCATAAGAGACCCTAACAACTTACACTGGTTGGCTCTTTCTGTTCCTCCTTCAAAGATAAAATCGTGGATTCTGACAAAGCAGATTTGATAGAAGCAGCTACGCATGCACCCTCCTGTGCTGCCATGTTTATTTTGGTTCATCAGTGGGTTCCGCTGCTTTCGTCACAGCTATAACATCCCACCTTAAATCAGAATTCTGCATAGTGATAGGCCGGCCTGTTTTGGGTTGGTTTCAAAGGATTTCAGCAGGAGTGGTATAAGATGGATTCTGGTTTGTATGTGAATAAACAAATACCACAAGTCAGCTCGCAGGCAAAGTTAATTTGAAAAACATTGACAAAAGAATCTTTACATCTGATTGCTTTAAATCATTTTAGATAAAATTTTAATTTTTCAGTATTACTTCATTTTGTTCCCATCCTTTACCAGGTAGACTTTTTTTTCATACTCTTGGTTCTAAAAGATATAATATTTTTTGGTGTCTGTTGGGCTAGTTTGTTTAATTCAAACTTTTTTTAAAAGCACATTTCAATTTGAATATTACTAATGAACGTTTTCATGTGTGTTTTATGAAATAGACTCTACATAAAGACCAGAATCATTATAAATTCATTTTTTTCCTTTTCTTTGAAAAAAAGGAATGTTAAAGTTAAACATGCCTACAGTATATGTTCTACTGCTTTACCTTATTGCTGCCTATAAATAAAATGACTTGGCCAATAAAGTAGTTTAATGTTGTTACACTGACAGGTTAGTTAGACAACAAACAGCATGACAGACCAAAGAACATCAGATCAGGGCCAATGTAGGAAACATAGTAAACATGTGGAAGCAGGTGCTTTGTACAGCTGGAAAATGTAGGTCTCTCATGCAAAATTTTGTGCACCACTATTTTCTGATTTTTATTTATATGGGAAAAAAAGCATAATTTTAGTTTTACTTCACATTTGGTAGTGGAAAAACAGCTCAGGCCTCTGTTTTGATTAATCTCTGTTTTATGATTTCTAGATTAAATGCATCCAAATGATATTTTTAAATTTCAATTTTTCTAGTTTGCTTTTCACTGGCATAAAAAGTGCATCTAATTCCGTTGTAACTAAAATTATCCATTACTTCAAAGTAATCTAATAACCAGAAACAGATTCAATTTGGATTCAAATTACAAAGTTATATTAACACAAACCGCTAATGATTTTCTTGGACCAGAATAGGATGCAAAACAAGTGGAAGTCATGAACACCTTCACAGTAATCAAGAAAACATTGTAGGTTTTTATGTGTTTTTTTTTTAAAAGATCTGGAACACGGCATATCCAGATTCTGACCTCCAACTCATGGGTCTGTCTGCCTCAGAGACCGTGTTTGGGTTTGCATATCTTTGAGCACACATGTTTTCAGTTTATGTGAATAAGTCCCGTTGTGTTGTTTCTGGAGAAAGAAACAGAAAGAAGTTCATTTTATTAGAGAGGGAGGACAACAGAGAGAGGACAGACGCCTTCCATGCTCAGAGCTCTAAACCCCCTCAAGGACTCGACTCGTTGAAACAAACTGTGCAAAAACATGACAGAGAGGCTCACCCCAGCTCGCGTTGAGAAATCCAGCCTAAGCCATCTGCTTAAAAAGGTGAAAAGCTCATTAAAATTCAAATAAGCAAAGCTGGGTAGAAAAAGAAAGAGAAAAAAGCACAGTGGAAGGAGAGGACAGAGAGAGGGATTAGAAAGAGGCAAGTTTCCTCCGTTTTCAGTTATCTTTCAAACCAGTCAATATAATTACTCCAGAGGAGAGAGGCTGAAAATTCCCAGAAATGTTTGGAGGTCAGAAATCGGCAGGAAATCACCAAAAAACTGCTTTGGCAGAAAATCTCCAACAGGTCAGCTGTTTTTTTTTTAAACTGTGAAATCAGCAAGTTTTCCAAATGTGTCAAATATGAATTTTGTTCTAATCAGGTTTGTATTTCTTTTCAATGAAATCTTCTACAGGTTATATAAAGTTAGCCACCTTTTATCCCCCCAAATTGAAGGAATTGAAATAGTAGCCTGTTTAACTTTAAAGCATGTGTCCCTAACTTTTATCAGTTTTTTTTCTATTAAACTCCAAACAAGTGTACCAAAATTTATGCAGTTGCTTTATATGTTCATAAGTTGATCTCTTTGTTTTGATGGATTTTATTGAACTAGAGGTCTAAAATCTCACTGCTTCACTATTTGAGTGGATCAAGAACAATTTGTCAGATTTTGAACTCTGGCCAACTTGATCAAGGGATCTCTGATGAAACTATAGACCCTGTGCCGTTTGAGGTAATGTGTATGTGGTCGACATGAAACATGACCTTCTACAGATGTTACACTTTCTGATGAGCAGAACAAGTTCCTGTTCTGATTTGAGCCGTGGCTTGGTTTGCAGTTGCTGCCTCATTTAAACATTTTTTCATCTTATTTTGCCTCCACCTCTTTGTCAAATGAAATCTTGATTCAATGAGAATTTAACTGAAGTCAAAAGGCAAAAGATCAGCTATTAAACCAGCTGAGAGATGTCATTTTATAATGAAGAATTCTGTATCAGTCAAATCATTTTACTACATTTCTACCTGTTCACCAGAGATGACATATTTCCTCTATTCAAGTAGAGTTTGCTCCACTTATGTAATGTCTGCATGATTAGAAATAAAACTAAATTCAGTTGCAAACTGTGGTTCAAAGCCACCTGCAGGTAACACCTCCAATTTTGCTGTAATGATCTCCTGAGAGCACGTAAGCCTGAGGTCTGACCTCAGCTGGAAACACTTCACCAATAGATCAGTAGGCTAAAACATTTCTGTAAAGCAGAGTTTCACTGTGGACAAAACAGAGAAAAAAAGAATCTCTCTAGCTCAGTGTTAATTGACTTCATGTCATTAGTTTTTCATATTTATGCACAGAAATATATTTTCCCTTTGCTTCAAATGCTTACAATATATCAGACTGCAATCCTCCAGTGGAATCAGCCCCACATGCTAGATACCGTAATTGCACAATATTTCTTTATAACAGAAAGCGCAATAACAATTTTCATATTAAAAGCAAAAACATTAGTGGCTCAATTGGATGTGCACTGCGGCGGCAGCTGTAAACTATATTGCTCCAATAAGATTTTATGTTTGAAAATTACCCATGGTATTTTACAGTTTCCACATGATGCATATGTCTAAGCTGCACCTTATTAACATGAGCAAAGGACACAGCGCTTTGTTAATCAGCACAGGCTTAATTTGCAGAAAACACAGGACTCGTAACCACAGAGAGGCGGGGCGGATGATGAAGCTGCACAAGTTTTCTTTGAGAATCAGATGAAGCTTTTCCCTTTACACATTTTATTACCTGGTGTTAGAGGTGGGGACAGAGATGGAGGTGAGGGAAAACTGATCGGGGCGGTGTGATTGGCACCCTGCCGGTTTATATAGGAGAAGAAATGCTCTTGTTTTATTTCAAGCTTTTCAAGCTGATCCCTTGACTTCAACTGTGTTTGTAAAAATCAGACTTAAGAGAGAAATATGAAGCGTTCTGGGCTCCTTTGCAGAGAAAAGGTTTCTCTAGCAGTTTGTGGCTTTCCGTTGCCAGTTCTAGAGGCACAAATGGTTACGCGTCTAAGAAAGTTAAATGTCAGAATGATTTAGGAAAGATAATACAAATAATTGAGTGACTTACTGTTTAAAAAAGACATACATTTATCCAAGGAAAGTTGGCATCAAAAAATTTTCAAAAGGTTGGTTAAAAAAACAAAAATAGGTAGCAAATCCTCAAATAGGCATAATTTTAACACTCAGAATTTAGGGAATGAAACAAAATTAACTGTTATTTTATTCTTCTGTTATATATTTAGACAAAAAGTAAAAAATAATTTTATCAAGGCACACTTCATTGAATTAAAATATTATGCCTTAGGAAATTTGCTAAATTAAGTGGAGAAAATAGAATGAAATATACCTTCTCTGATGCTATGTGCGAAGGTGACATTGTTTAAATCATCAAATCGGTAAACCAAATTCAAAATTTAAGCAGAAGTTTAGAGACATAAATAAAATTACCATGCAGTGTTTACATATTCTTTATTTTTAGCTGCAAATGTTATCGTGAAATGATGAGCAGGACAAGTTTATTCTTTTTTAAAGTCCCACTTTATTGGTTATAAGAGTAAGGTATTCCAGCAAAGCTCTGTAAATGTGCATGTTCACTGGAAGTACTGTAGGTACCCATTAGGTTCCTCGTGGAGATACCCTCCCAGAGGTAAGACAAGTTAATTTTATAAGACAAGTCAAGTTTATTTGTATAGCACAATTCAGTACAAGGACAATTCAAAGTGCTCTAAATGAATTAGATGAAAATATAGAAGAAAACTAAAAACAGATTAAAAGCAAATAAAGATAGAAATATAAAAAAAGCAGATAGTAAAAAAAAAATTAAACTATAAATTAAACTATAATTTAAAAATTAAACTAAACTTGAACTAATACTACTTTTTTTTACTTCGACAGTCAAAGGCAGCTCTATACAAATGGATTTTTAACTTTGATTTACAGTAAAAGAACTCAGGCTTCCAGTACTTACAGCCTTCTGAAAGTTTTTTTTACAGATTATTAGTGTATAAGAATAAAATGCTGCTTCTCCATGTTAGTTGTTAGTTCTTGGTGCACAGAATAAACTTGAATTAGAAGACCGCA